TAAGGCTTTGGCCCTTGAAGGTGAGGCTTCCTCTCTGCCCCAGGGCCTGCTGCCCCTTTGCTTTGTTGTGAAATCTAATTTGCATGCCCCCTGCAACCTCCAGTCGCATCTGCTCCTGACCTCGTCAAACCTCACCGCCTCCCAGACACCCTGGGCTGCGCTGCTTCCCGTTCTCCCGTCACCTTCTTCCCGTGAGACCTGCCCCGTCCATCGCCCGCACCACCGGTCCTTTAATGCCTCCACTGTACCCAGGCACCGCTGTGCCGGTGAGCACCTGCCTGCTCTGTGGGGAGGTGCGCCTGCGCAGACACACAGACGTTTACTACAAAGGGACGGATAGAAAGCGTGTGTACACGCAGCTTCCAAATAATAAAATACACGAATACTCTGTGAATTCTGTCAGGCGGCTTGACTCTCACAGAAGGCTGTCACTGACTTTTGCCAAGCTCTGTCACCTGCGGCCAGCACACAGGGTGGTGGCCGTTCAGCCCGGGTTTAACAAACGGACTTACATCCCAACTCACTTGTTTCTCGATATCCTTTGTTTGTCCATACACTGCTGTAACTTACCGTTAAACTATTTCTCATCCTTGTACAAAGTGTTTATTAAACGGGAACTGTCCAGCTTCGGCATGGAAAACCGCACCCCCTCAGACAACAGGTCCTCGAATGACATTACTTCACCGTCCCCTTGAGGAGATGCCGTGGGAACCTAACTCAGTCACATCAGTTTGCCTGTGGACAAAGCAGTTTTGCTGGGTGCCGTTTGGCTTCAAGTCGCAGAACCTATTGACGATGTCAAGCGAGGACTCATTGTGTGGCTTGTCCCAACACAGAGATACATCCAATGTAAAAACCTCAAGAGCAGAGTAAAACACAGTACAATAGGTTGCAGTCGGTTTTGCATACTTATTACCTTTGTGGGCTTTTAAAAATATAACTCATTTAATAGTAAGTGTATCTAGTTTAATTGTAAACAACGCTTGCATTTAAAATTGGCTCACGGAATGGCTTCACATTTCACAATCGGTGCCTGTGGACCAGCCAGCGGGGTTCCACCACGCTGCTGCTCCCCCCTCAACGCTAGCCCCCCCCGCCCAAATCTTACAGGTCAGCCTGAAAGGGCACTCGGTGTTGGCGTTCTCCACCGTCTCCTGGGTAAACGTGACAAGGGCGGGGTCAAGGTCGAGTTGTCTAAAATGTCTCTAAATTTTCTTAGCATGAGTGCACAAAGAAACAAACGTCACAGCTCGTTGGTACTGGGCAGACAGGGGTGGGCTAAAGTAGGTTCACAGTTGAGCATATGGTTTATTCTTGTGTTACTATTGTATTTTTGCATTACAACTGTAAACCTACTTTTGCCCACCCCAGGTAATAGGTTTACAACATACTAGATACCTGCAAGAGCACCAGGGAAAGAGAGGCCTGATGACTGCCTGGGAGTGCGGGTCTGGTCAACTGTTCACATGCCCCGAGGCTTGAGAGACTGCGGGCTGCGCATGAGAACACAGGAGAACGGCACACGTGAGCCAAGCGGCTCTCGTGCGTTCCCTGCGGGGACAGGCTGGCTGTCCAGGAACCCCCCGCGAAGGAAACAAATCCCCAAGGGCTACTATTACCTGCGCTGACACTAACTCATCTGTACCCAGGAAGCCATGTGCAGACATTACCTCACCCTCTAATCTCGTATCTAACCAGGTGACAGAAGTGTCCCTTGGCTTCCCTTGTCTGGGAGGAAACTGTGGCCCAAGAAACCAGAACGACTTGCCGCTTTGCTAACACCTCAAGCGCCCCTGCTCCTGGTGTGGGCTGAACAGTGAGCAGGCACCTTGGGCTCGTTCTGGAACCATGAGCCCTGATCGAGGCAGCTGTCTCCGCTGAGATCACCTTGCTGGGGCCGTTCCAGTACCGTAACGAGCCCCAGCGTTAACACACGCCGGGACTCAAGCAAGGATAGGAATCCCACGGGGCTCCTATGCTACTACCCTGGGTAACTTTTAAGCTACAGGAATTCTGCGAGTTGCCCGTCTGGGATTGGAACTCCTGGGAAGAATGAGCTGTAAATGATGAATAACAAGCCCGCCTGAAAGTGCCCTTTCTCCCTGGAGGAGGTAAACCTCCACTTCCCACCCGTGGCTTCCAGTACAAACAAGCCTTTCACTATTGAAAGACATAAACTTAATACATGTACTAATGCCAAAATGTTTCATTTAGCCTTTGAGTTTGGGGCCAGGGGTTGGGGGGCAATAGTTGGGTGGGGGAAGACAGTGTCCTGTCACCAGTCAAGCTAAGAAAAGTGGACCCCAATCTCCTTGTTTCCTCTTCCTGTGACAAGTGAGCCTCTTCTCAGTATGGAGTCTCTCCTCCCTGCCGCGCTGCTGAAGCTGGGGGACCACCCAGAGGGCCGCCCCTGCCAGCAACCTGCAAAGTAGGGGCCCCCTACATGCCCACGCCACTCTGTAGCTTCCACCAAAGGGCTGGGGACCCCTTGGCTGTCTCATTGCACATCTGGTCCCCCGCTTCCTTCAGGCCAACACACCCCCCTTTGCGTTCCACAGACACTTGACTTGTTTGCTAGTTCCTTACACTGAGTCCATGTATGTATGATGTGTTTCAGTTATCACCAGTATAAGTTTCTGCACTAAAATAATTCCATGAAGTAGAATAAGGAAATGTGCCGGGAACACGCCCTCCTTTTAGAAGCCCGGCCCAGCTGCAGGCCCACGGCCCCCTCTCCACGAACAGATGACACAAGGTCGGATGTGAACGTGACACTACCTTAACCGCCACTTAGTGCGCTCTCTTGAACAGCCTCCCACGGGCCTAACCACACCACCCAGTCCAAGTGTAACTAGCACCGTGCTTGTCAGGTCAGCTGAAACATGGAGTAACGATAGCCAAGGCAGGGTCCTGCAGTGCGGTGATGTAAAACTTGGAAACTGGTTTCCACAAATGGCATTAGATGCACGAGGTTAGGCAACGAGGGCTGTAACAGGAGCCTGCTAGTCTGAGCTCTGGCAGTGCAATCCAGGAGTTTTTCTGCATTTGGACTAAATCAGCACTTATCCAAGTGATCTGTGTATGGGCCCCAGGTGCTGGAAGTAGATGGTTTTATCAGTGCTACACTCTGGGCTTCTGACTATCACGTCTTTTAAAGATAGGGTCCCCTTGCGGGAAACAGGAGTTAAAACCGGAAAGCTGAACTGACCTTCTGGAGTCTAAACAGAGAAACATGAGAATAACCTATTTCCTCATGGCTACTCCAGCTCGTTCGGACACTGACTCGCAGGTAAAAGGGTCGGAAGCAAGGAGAGATGGGCCTTCGTCCTGGTTTAAACGTGCATTTTAATCTGTCAATGTATCCTACTCCTTTCTCGGGCCTTCTGTGAAAACAGCAAACGTGTAAATTCTCCAACCTGCAGCCACTGAAAGGGAGGACGTGACGTTCTGTCCTCCGCCTCCAGGAGGGCGTGTGAAGTGCCCACAGGCCCCAGGGACCTTGCAGACCTGCTCTGTCGGCACCACCCAGGGCCTGCTCGGTGACCTCCCAGCCAGAACCTCCTGACGCAGCCGGCCGGCGCCGTGACCTTCGCCCGGTCTGCTCTGAGCCGAGACCGAATGGCCCAGCAATGACTGTGCCAGAGGGCGGCGTCAGGCATTCCACAGGTGAAGTGCCTCCGCTCCTGGGTTGCCCATTGTCGGGGATCTGACCTGTCCTTAACTCTAGGGGACCGTGGGCTGGTCGGAGAGGGACAGTCCCTCCAAGGGAACCACCAGATTTGAACAGACCACAGCCCCGAGGCCGACGAGGCTGAACCCCAATGACAGCAAACTGTTTTCTTTTAAATCCTAATGAAGAACTTATTCTGTACAATGAGGAAAAAAAGACACCAAACCATTTAAACATAATTTATGTACATTTATGGCTTTTATACAATAATAGCAAAGATTGTTCTTGGGTCTGTAAGTACATCCGCATCATCAGGCACTTCTCAGAGTATGGGGGCAGGGACAGGGGACCTGCACTGTTACTGAACCCACGCAGCAAGAGGCAGGGACGCATGCCTGGGTCCGGACCGGGCTGGCACGGCCACCCCCGGCCACACGCCAGGCTGCACGCCGCCCTCCGGGAGGCGGCCCAGGGCCACGCCCCGCAGCTTTGAATCAGGCTGCGTTTTTTATTGAATGATTACTTCCAAACTCAAATCGCGAGAGAAACGTCTCCTTTAAGAGTCAGTGATAAATTAAGAACTCTGAAGAGCTGACTGTAAAAACGTGGGGGGCCGGGTCACCCAGAACCAGCAGTGGGGCAATCTGCGTGGTCCACCTTCGGAGAACCAGCCCCACGCCGAGTGCCCTCCTCTGCTCGCGAGGCCCCCCTGCTTGACTGCTCCCTGAACAGAACACCTGCTCATTGACTTACTGTGTCAGTTTGTCAAAGCAAAACTTCCCATGTCATGTGTCTATTACCTAAATATAGTCCGTACGTGTCTATATTACAGAAACAATACTTTATATTTAAAATATCTGAAGAGCTCTATAATACAATATGCTTTTAATAACAGTACAAACCAGGGGAAATGAATCAGACAAGGCTGCATAGGTGATATCATCTGCACATTTCACAAAGCAATCATGTACAATAACTGGTACGCTAATTACTCCAGAAAGTCAGTCTTCGTACAGAAAAAGAAATCAGAGGTCACATAATGTTTTCAAAATAGACAAGGTGCCTTCCACTGGAGCTCACTGTGCCCGTGAGCTCGCCACCTGGGATTCGTGTCAGGATTTCAACACAGAAGGGAAACTTGAAGGAAAAAAAAAAAAAAAAAAGGTATTTACACAGACGTAGGGGGAAGAAGGATCTTTAAAAGTCGCACTCTGAAGCAGTGAGAGTTTAACGGTGATGTGGCTGTAGTTGTCTCTGAGGCTCCTGTGTGACGGCGGGGGGGGGGGGGGGGCGGGGTGTCCGACGGGGCGGGGGCGGGGCTGTGGTAACACAAGCACAGGTAACCTGCACCGGCAAGGCCTGCTCCCTACGCAGGGGACAGTGCTGGGAGGAACCAGGATTTCGGAAGCCAGGCGTGTTTTGGCCCGGCCAGCAAGGAAGAGGGCTGTTGAATAAACCTCCGACACAGCAGGAGTCACAGAGGGACGCGCATCCTGCCGCTGGCCCCGGGGGCAACCTATCAAGGACACTTATGTTCTTGTTAAACACGTAGAAAAAAATCAAGCCAACAGAGATGCAATCCACAGACGAGACAAAGCAAGTGTGGTTTGGGCTAAGCACACAGAAATCAGAGCCTTCTCAGGCTGGCAGGGGGGAACACTTCTGTTCAGCTGCCGCTCCTGCCGCGCCGCCTCCGGGCCTCCCCGGGACCTGAAAACGCTGATGCCGTGAGTGGGACACAGAGCCAGCGAGCTTGGTCTGTCGGTTACAGGGAACTGGAAAACACTGAAACGCTATGGCCAGGATCACAGTTCCGGGCCGCTACAGGCTGAAGAAATTCGTAACTTCCACAAAGGCTTTTAAAATTCAAATATACAACTCACAGCTGGTTTGTTGATTTTCAAATTAACTGCCCTGGTTTTCAAGGAGTCCTTTTCCATTTGGTAGCTTCTATGCTCAAGAACACAAAGCCTCCCACAAACCACTGAGGTCCCATTTCTAAAGCCCCCCCACCCCCGCGACTCCCCGTGCACAGTGCGCTACGGAACCTGCAGGACAGCAGGACGAAGGACGTGGGTGGAGCGTGGGCACGGACGTGCGCTGTCAAGGCAAGGCTATCGAACCCACCACCACCCAGGCCAGAACAGAGCGCAGAACTGGGAAGGGAGCCTTCTGGTGAAGCTCAGCTTAAAATGGTTGTTGACCGAAACCCCCAGCCTGAGAAAGGCGCACTGTTTGGGGCGGGGGTCTCCCTTCCTGGCCCACAGACAGTACAAGGCTCCCAGGAGGAAAGGCAAAGACGAGAAGACTCCATGCTACGCCGTACGCTTAGCTCACGGAGGAAGAGCAGATGTAATTTCTTTAAAATACATACATAGAAACATACCAAGTTCTCCAAAACATGAAACGCAAAAATGTCCTTAACTATATACATCGCTCTCCTGCCAAAATAGGGCCAGAAACATTGACTAGGCAAGTATTAATTACAATGATTTTTTAAGGTTAGTCAGAAACATCACCAAGCAGCATCCCCAAGTGTACAAACCAGTCAAGCACGTACAAAATTAGTACTAATCCAGTTAGAATACAAAATGAAAATTACGGATGCTGTCTCAAATATCTGGGAGCCCATAAATTTACAAGCATACTGTAACAAAGTAGACTCTAGTTTTAAGAAAGCATTACATTTCAGTATCTATTCCAAAAATGATCAAGTCCCAACAGTAACATCAAAAATCATTTATCTGGAAATTAGAACCATTCGTATGTTTGTACAAATTTGCAAATAACAAAATAAACAAACAAAAAAAAATAGAAAAGACCTGTACAAGGCTGGCATTTACTCTATCCCCCCCGCCCCCCGAAGAGTTTGACAAGTCCGTGAACTCAGCAGATTGCTGACAGGTTACTGGTTCTCACGTGAGTGATGTGGCCACATGAGCAGGTCCCAGGCGGCTCCCCAAGGTGCTGGGTGGGGAGCTGGGCTCTGGGTGACGCGTCAGTTCAGCAGAACACAGGTAGGACAAACCAAAGTTTAAGTTATTAAGGACATGAGACCATCACAGTATTACAAAGAGTATAAACTTTCCTTGGACCAAACGGCTATTTAAAAAACAAAACACACACAAATACAATTCTGTAGCTACTGCTTATATACAAAACTTGAAAGCACACCAGGATCCGAAGTCTGTTCTGCAGTTACGCGGCGCAGGGAGTTTGGCACTTGATTGTAAGGAGTTCTCCAATGGTGCGGCCCTTATCTGCCGCTGCACGGAGCCTGCAAACGCTGGGCAAACATCCTGTGCGGGAAAGGTGTCTTCACTGCCAAGTCTGACGAAAGGAAAAAAAAAACCGTTCTTTCTGTTTGGTTTTTTGTTTTTTTTTAAATCAAGAAAACGAAAAAATGGGATGACAGAACATCTTTGGACTTCTTCTCTCAGTTCCTGCTGTCAGACAATCTGAAGTACTTTTAAATGTAGCCTAGGAGGGAAAAAAACACACACACACAATAAAAATATAGCCAAATTAAAATCGATTCAACCTAACATGTGAGAGCGACAGACCTACATTGGGAGTAGCTAGAGCCTCCCCACAGCTCTGAAATCACTCAGGGGGGAGGGGGCGTTCCACTTAAAAAAGCCCGGCAGCATGCGATTCACAGCAAATGTACCCATTTACTGAAGAGCTATGGAAGAGACGCAGCCATCTAACTGTCCAAGAAAATCTTTAAAGCCCTTACAGGAAGATTCCACGTTTCGCCTCAAAACGAAAATTTCTAAGCTGGAAAAAGGGTAAAGAGCAAATAATAAAAGGCGCTGCCCTGCCCGGGGTGGCCAGGTGACCGCCAGAAAGCCCTAAGCAGCCGTGGAAGACACGGGCAGGCCGCTCCGCCAAGCTCGGCGCTCTGGGCGTGGGGTTGCGGGGTGGCCTTACCTGCCGCTACCTCACTCTTAGCCCGACACCCAGCTGTGCGTCGTTGTCTTGACACTGTGCGGGAAGCTTTGGTTGGGCAGCACGTTGTCGAAGTTGAAGTCCAACGTATCTCCATCCATGAGGTCGTTGCGAATGATGGACTCCATGTCGCAGTCCAAGCGCTCGATGAACATGCCGTCCAAGTCACTGGGGAGCTTCTCCTGGTGGAGAAGGCCCATCCTGCCGTAGCCATTGCAGCTGCCCCCCGAGGAGTAGCCCCCGAGGGTGTTCATCTGCATGGCGTGGGGCAGAGGCACTTGTAAAGCTGTCTTCACGGGGGCCAAGCGGTTCATGCCCGCAGTGTGGGGCATGGCGCTTACCGCGTGGGGCAAGGCGCGCCCATTGACCACGGACGCTGGCTGGGCGTGCCCGGGGTGGGTGTGGGGGCTGGGGCTCATCATTTTGTTATGAGATGCCTGGCTGCCATAGGCGGGCAGGACCGAATTGGGGCCCATCAACACATTCTGGCCGAGGACCCGGCTGTTCGGCTGGGCCACCCCAGGATCCACCGGTGCCATGATGTCGTTGTGGGGAGGGGAGTCAGAAGTGAGCAACTCCTTCAGGAGTCCTGGTGCACAGTTGTACTGATTGATGCCTCCGTAGCCCGGTTTGCTGTCCTGAAGCGTCTGCATAGACATCTGGGGCAGGGGGCTCATGCTGGACTGGCCATAGGTGTACTTCTGGTAGTTCGGGCTTGGCGAATTCAGGCTGGTGTTGGGCGGCGCGAACGAGTAGCACGGGGCCTGCTGCATCATGCTGCCGGGGGAGGACTGGGTTGACACAGTCAGCGACGTCGGCGGCGAGAGGAGGTTGAGATTATCCAGAAGGTTCTCCATGTTCTCGGGGCTGCTTATCTCCGACAGGCTGGGCAGAGTGGAGGCCATCTTGGCAGCGGATGGCGGGTACACCATCGAATGCACGTCCCCGTCTCCGAGGTCGTCCTGTTCGGTCATAATGGGGGACAGTCTCCCACTAATAGTACTAGCATTGGAGCTGGTTCGGGGGCGAAAGGTACTCCAGTTATCAAAGTCGTCATTGCTGTGAGAGCCAGGGCTGGCAGGCCACTTGGAGAACTGAGACCCCGGGCTGTCCCCAGCCCCCTCTGGACCAGATTGGAGGGACGCTTTCTTCTTGGCGGCTCGGCCTCGGCTCTTAGAAAACTTACTGTTGTTGTCCATGGACGCGGCTCTTCTCCTGGGCGATTTTCCACTCTTGCCTCCCTCTGGGTTGAGCATCCACCAAGAACTTTTTCCAGTTCCTTCATTCTGCACACGGATGAACTTGCTGTGCAGGGACAGATTATGACGAATTGAATTCTGTAAAGCAAAACACCGTGTTAGAAATACAGCACCTCTCCAACTGCATGAAAGTACAGATTTCAACCCATACAGTTGCAGTGGTTCTGAACCCCCTCAAATAGACACAGAAAAACAGTTACCTGTATCTTAATGTGGGAACAAAATTCAATACACATCCCTAAAATCCTCTCTCCATCCTATCACCCCTAAAACCACTACGAATTCTCTTCAGATTGCACAGGCCATTTACTACAGTGAGAAGCTGTGTGCTACTACAAGATTTGAGGTAGAAAAGAAACAAACTAGCATACAGTCTCAGACGAAAATTAAAAGTCTGAAAACTGTAAGACTCAGACTCATTTATACCCTTAGAAGTTCATTAGGCAAATACGCGCAAGTGAATAAGGACAAACTGGTTCTTCTTTTTTTTAATTTTAGAAAGTTGATCTCCCTCCCAACAAAAGGAAAAAAAAAAAAATTCCGGTGTTATTTGCCACCCCGGCCTCCCAACAATCACCAGCAGCACGTGGCAGCCAACCCACGGACACAGCCTCAGAGGTCACTCCCCACCCAGCCAGGGGCGGGGGGGGGGGGCAGTACCAAGGGCTCCGGGTGTCGCCCTGCCCGGGCAGCTCCACGGCTGCACTGGGCCGCGAGGACCCCCCGCCCCGGGACATTCGCAGAGAAAGATCAAGCACTTTCTGAGCATTTCGGGGGCTCCCCCACTCACTGGCTACATGACCTCACGAAACTGCTTGGCCCCGTGTGCCTTCAGTTTCCTGTCTGTAACACAGAGAGAGAAACGTAACCTCGAGGGGCTGTTACACGGGTTAGACGAGGTATGGTGTTTAAAAGGCTTGGTGGTGTCTGGTATGTGGTAAGAGTCGGAAGAATGGATGAGATCCCAACTTTGGGGACACAAGTCTAAGCCCCAGTTCCTTCCTCCTAGTCACTGGGGTGCAGGGAGGAGCTTAGAGGTGTCACAAATGCAAACCCACAACTCCTAACACACACTGAAGGGGGCTGGAAAGAGTCCCAAGTCCCAGCAGAAGTGGCAACAGCAGCCAACAGGGCAGCCCGGTGGCCTCCCCAGGGCCTCTGGGACACGTGGGAAAGGAAGAGCGGCCCCGAGACGGAGGACCCCGCCCCGCAGCCCCCTGCCCGGCCCCAGGATGGGCACACTGCAGACGCCCCAGGCCAGCGCCTGCCGTCAGAGCTTGTCCAAGGCCAGGAGCCAGGCTCAAGGCCCTTGGGTATCCCGGACCCCGGGCACGGGGCAGGGCGCAGGCCCCAGGCCTCCCCGCTGCCTCTGCCAACCAGGCGCGCGGCTCCACTGATCGAGCCCCCCAGACCCGTCGCCCCTCTCCCCAACCACAGAAAGGCTCTGGCTGGGTTTGTGGTCACCCAGGGACGCAGCCACAACGCCCACATCCTCATGCCACCGACATGCCAATCACTGCACCAGAGCAGAGGCTGGGTGCAGCAGGACAAGGTGGGGCACGGACACAGGCCAAAAGCTCACGGCTTCCCTCCTTAAAAGGAGGTAGAAAAGGGAACGGGGAAGGGGCGGGGGGTGGGGGGGGTCTCACTTTCTAACGGAGACATAAAAGTCAGAGTGAGGCCAGACGGCCGGGGCGGAGGAATCCGCTTTTCAAAACGCCCTCTGACCCTCTGCGCTGCCTGTCACCCCAGGGTCGCAGCGCGGCAGCCACGCCAGGCTGAGGCCAGGGCTCGCGGGGAGTGGGGCCAGGCTGGCACCTGCACGGGTCCGCGGCCTGGAGGCTGGCAGCAGTGTCGCGTGAATGACAGCGTTCTGTTGTTCCCAAGACTTTCCTCTTCCTTCCCCCCCATGTTGTCCCCAAACTCCAGGCTTCCGAAAGAGGCCAAGCGCTGTGTTTCCCTCACAGCCTGCCATCGCCATGACACTCCCTTACAGGAAGGTCTCTCCCCGCCCCACACACACGCACGCACGCACGCATGCGCGCGCTCCACAGCTTCATTTACTGGGCCAACCAACCCCAGCAAAACAAGTTCCAAATTCCTCCTTAAAGAAGCGAGCCTGGCCCCGGGGTGGGGGCGGGGGCGGGGGCGGGGGCCGGGGCCGCGCACTCCGGCCTCGGTGTGTCCCGTGTGCTGGAGGCCTGAGCCCTTGCACGGCGTTCCGGCGCAGGGCCACCTTGGCCTCTGAAAGAACAGACACACAGACAAGCTACAATGAAGAAAGTTCCAGAGGAAAGGACGTTTGACTCCTGTCCCTGTCAGAGGCAGTTAGTGATCAAGGGGGAAGATCTTCCTAGATAGTGGCTTCCTGGCTGTCCTCACTGACTGGGGGAAGGGCCGTGCGGCTCCACAACATTTATAATTAGATCAGGTCGTTGGCAACTGCAATTAGGGGATGTTTTTAATAACACGGGTAAGGCACAATGATGAAGTCTTTAATAAAATTCAAGAAGCATTCGCTAACTCAGATGGGACACACATTAACTCACTAATTAGACTCACAAGAAAAAAAAGAGAAAAGGTCCCAGAGCAATCCCTTACTTATCAAAACATTATGCCACATATTTTTCTAAGAGGACATTTGAGGTCGCTCTTTGAGTAACAGAGCTGTCTCCTAACTTTGCCAACAATTAAAAAAAATTTTTTCCGAACAGGAAAAGGTTTTCTGTGCAGGGCTTGTTACATAAATTCCTGTTTTTCACACAGCCAGCAGGACATTAAAGCAGCTCTGATTTCCAGGGGGCGGGGGCAGCGGTGCTGAATAGGTGAATCTTGTAAAAACTGCGTGTTGCTCTGTAGCGATGTTATGTCTGCAGGTCCCTGGTGGCCCTGGCCCAGGCTGGGGGAAAGTGTGGTTCATCCCGGGGGCCAGGCAGCAGAGCCGGTTCTTGAACCATGACAGCTATCTTGCGAGGGAGGAGGCAAGGTGTGCGGCAGAGAACGCACGCACGGCGCGCCATGTTTCTGCGTGACGCCGTTAAAGGGAAGGGCAAGCCAGCAGCCTTCCTCTCCACCAGCCGTGCTCCCCCGCAGCCCCAGCCCCTGCCAGCGCGGAGCTGGCGTGCTCCCCTCCAAGCACACCTCCCTCTGCTACCGCATTCTCCTTGGGAAGCTCCACAGATCACGTGGGCGTGGATCACCAAGGGGACCCTGGGCGCCACGTGCACTTGCTTGCTTGTTCAGCCTGCCCCACTGGCTGTTTCTAACTCCTGGGTGTTCTGTCTTCTGTGCTGCACAGACCAGAGTCCAAGCTCCTTAAAGGGCAAGGGGCTCCGTTTTGTTTTTAACGCCTAATCCCAAATCCCCTAACATGCTCTACATGCCACATACACTCAATGATGGTTGATGGACATCCCAAAAGCATCACAGGGAAGACGTAATGTCTTACACATTTTCTATCCATCCCTCCATGTACCAACCCACACTCAGTAACATTTCCTGGGACCTATTTGTCGCTACATGCAGGAAGGACAGAAGAAGGAACGAGACACGATCTCTGCCCTCTGGATGTTCCCACCCAGGGACAGAACCAGCCGCCGAAACATGCGCAGGACACAGACTGACGCACAGAGGACTATGCAGGAGTGTCAACCCCCGCCCCCCCGCGCCCCGCGCCCCTCCCAGCAGTCACCGTTCCCCACCCCTGCCAACTTCGGTCTCAGTCCGAGTGTCCCTTCCTTCCAGAAGCCCTTCCGGACGGCCCCCCTCGTCCGGAGCTCTCTAGCACAGGACCTTTGTGGCTCTCTGTAACTATGACCCCGCTATGCCCTGTCCCTGGGGGCCGCCTGGCTGCCCCCTACACTGTCAGCCGCAGGAGCTCGGTGACCAGTCTGCCTCCTGCTCCCCGTGCACTCACAGCTCACCGCCAAGCGGCACTCAAGTCACTGCCGAACGGATTCACGGGTCCTGAGCTTCCCGGGCTGCTGGCAAGGCCAAATGAGGTAACATGTGTGAAGTGCTTGCCTCGATCAATATTAGCCAACATTGTTGTTACTATTAGCATGATGGCGTCTATAAAATGACATGTCTCTGTTTTAGAGGTTTATCTGTATAACATTCATCTCCCTTCTCTATGCTCACACCTTACACGGTCTCTGCGAGCAGGAGGCATTCACACAGGCGTTTCTAGAAAAGCAGGGCAGGCTGCGGCACGACTGAAGAGTCTTCCCTCTACACTAGACAGTGCGAGGCTGCGTGCGGACGTCAGCACAGGAAGCCCCCCACTGAAGCTGCTCTGTGACTGCACGTGCCGCCCCGAGTCGTCAGAACCCTGGAGTCTCCTTACGGTGCCGCGGCCCAGCCTTGAGTGTGGGCATCACACCCGGCGGTGGGCTCTGGCCTCAGCCGGCGCGTGACAGGAAGATGTGGCTGGAACCAGCAGGGCCACGTCAGCAGGCCCCCGCCTGGCAGCTCTGCCAGTCAGCCCCCGCCTGGCTGGAAGGAGCTGGCCCTCGGAAACCCCGAGGGACCGGGACAGGGACCGCCCCTCCCTAGGATGCTCTTGGCAGTCGCCACTGTCTACAGCGATGATCAGACAGCCATTCACGTGTGAGAAGGAATCTTTATACCTTTGTTTTACTCGTTAAAAAAAAGTTTATATTTGCAAATGTGTTATGGACTGGAATATACACAATCAAATGGTATAGTGTAAATGAATAAATGTGCTGTCAAAAGGGCATACGATTTTTCCAAACACACTTAAGACCACCAGTCTATCGCAGGCTTCCAGGAGACTAGAAGCCCCAACAAAGAAAACCGCGGGGGCACGACAGGCCCTCAAGTCCGGCCAGCAAGCTCCTTGTCCGCCCAGGCCGGGGTGTGTCCCTCTCTTCTCCTCCCCAGCCCAATGCTTCCCAGCACCCTGGACTTCCTGGGCCGCTGCCCCGCCTCCCGTGCTCCCTGCACGGCTACAGCCGCAGCAAGGCCCGCCACTGTCAGCGGATGTCACCAGCGCTGGGCCGCGGGCCTTCCCTTCGCTGCTGCACGCTGCCCGTCTCTGCTCAGCAGCTCTAAGACGC